CATATTAAGAACCCAGTGAGATATCTATACCCACTCAATTGGCATTGTTAAGAAGTTTGATAGTACAAAGTGTGACAAGGATATGGATCAGTAAGAACCCTATTATTGGTAGTGAAAATTGGTGTTAGTTTTCTTGTAGCTATAACAAATTAATACAACAAAACCCCACAGATAATAATACCTTATAGCTTTGGAGGACAGAAGTCTGAAATGGGCCTTATGGGGCTAAAATTAAGGTGTCAGCAGGTCTGGGTTCCTTCTGGATGCTCTAGGGGAAAATCTGTTATTTTTCTTTTTTTCCAGCTTCTAGAGGCTGCCTGCATTTCTTGGTGCATGTCTGAGTCACTCCAGTCTCTGCTTCCTTCATTACATCTCCTTTGATTCTCCTACCTCCTGCTTTTATTTGTATGAACCCTTAAGATTACATTGGACCCATATGGAAAACTGAGGCTACTCTCCCATCTCAAGATCCTTAAGCAAATCACCAAGGTCCCCTTTGCCATATAAAGTAACATATTCACAGGTTCTGGAGATTAGATGTGGACACCTTTGCGGGGTGGCGCGGGGAGACTATTATTCTGCCTATAGCAATGTGCATACCCTATAATTTAGCAATTCCATTCTCAGATATATAATCTAGAGAAATTTACACATAAACACCAGGAGAAATGTATAACATATTCATGGTAGTATTGGTTGCAATATAAAAAAAATTGAAAACATTGTAAATGTCTGTCTACAGGACAATGGATAAAATAAATTGTGCTTTATTCACATAATGAAATATTATACAGCAGTTAAAATTAATAAACTGCAGCTACATGAAAACATAAATAAATCATAGAAACAAAATACTGTGTAAAAAAGTAGTCACAGAAAACTATGTATGATATGATTCTATTTTTATAAAGCTCAAAACCAAGCAAAATGAACAAAATAATGTTTAGAGATACATACATTTGTAATAAAATAATTGTCAAAAGGCATGGGAAGGGCCGGCCTGGTGGCACACTGGAGAGAGCGCCGCTTGGGAGTGTGGCGGCGCTCCCGCCGAGGGTTTGGATCCCATGTGGAGACCGGTTCCCGCTCACTGGCTGAGCATGGTGCGGGCACAACACCGAGGGTTGCAATCCCGTTGCCAGTCCCCAGTACGGGCGCGACACCGAGGGTTGCGATGCCGTTACCGGTCAGTAAAAAAGACAAAAAAAAAAAAAAAGGCATGGGAAGGGGCAACACAAAATTTAGGATAATATTATTTCTGATGACAAGGCAGGTGAATGGAAGAAGGAAGAAAAATACTGGAAGGTAATCATATTGGTAATGTTCTACTCTTAAGTTAGAAAACAGATTCATTAATATATTACAAATATTCTTTTATATGCATAAATTAGCATATAAACAAAATTTAGAGAAGCAAGTTGATAGTCTATTTTTGTTAACACAAAACTATATACATTTATTTATATCAATTTCATTTATTTCCATGTGCATAGAGAAATAACCTAAGGACATACACAAAATATTTAAGAGTGATAACGCCAAGGAAATGAAATAAAGAGAAAAGAGTGTGGTCTCTTCACCTTTTATTTAATTTATCTCTTTATTTACATATTTTTTCAAAGTACATATGCTATTTTTGTAACTATATAAACATAAAAATTTTAAAGAATCTAATGAATTGCAATTGCAAGGTTTTACCTGTCTGTATAGTTTTCTGAGAAAACTATATTTGAAAAAAAGAAAAAGAACCCTATCAGCTTGGTATCACCATGTTAACTACTATGTTAATCATTCTCTGCCTTACATCTCTTCAAAATTCTCTGTACATTTTGTGCTCCTTAATTAATAAAGTACAGTATCCTTTAATAGCCAAATCTTATTCTTATATTAAATCATTCACAATTACTTACCATTTCTTTTTTTTTTCCATTTATTCCTTTTTCTCTGCTCTCTTCCTCTTAATTTTTCCTCTGGTAGTATCTAACAGTTTTAAAAAGAATTGGAAATTTTAGTTCTATCATTAAAAATCCTTTTATTAATTTAAGAATTTGAGGGATTAGAATAATTGATTGATGTTTCAATTAACTTTATTACACTGGTTGAAAAAAATACAAAGATACAAATAACAGATAAAATTGTTTAATTATAGTTACATCACAGAGTTATAGAATATGTGGCACTTAGGAATCCATCTAGAGGACAATATTCCTGTGGGCTGCTAGAATCCAACCTCTAGTTAATCTAGAAAGCATAAGGTGTTATGCTTATTAGCAGAAGGTATATGAATGCAACTATTAAGCAATTTATTGGCAAATATAAAAAATGAATTGAGTATTTTAATGAGAAAATGGAGACTATTAGCTTGCCACCTTGTTAACCACAACTACTTTCCTGACTGGAAATGAAAGTTCCCTATGTGATTTCTTTTTTTTTTTTTAATTATCCAGCTTGGGGCTTTACTGAAATCTGTAGTTGCTGTCTTTCATCCATTTTGGAAAACTTTGGCCATTATTCCTCATTCATCTTCTTTCCTTCTTGGATTCTAATTACATGTTAGAGCTCTTCACTGTGTCTCACATGTCTGATGCTCTTTTCTACATCTTCCATTCTTTTCTTCCTCCCAACCTGATTTCCAATTCACTAATTCTGTCTCTCTTTGTGTCTAATTTACTGGTAAATCTATCTGACTTGTTATTTATAAATAATGGGCATTTATTCCAGAATTTATACTTGATTCTTTTTTAATAGTTTACAAATCTTTATTTTCTTGAACATATTAATCATAATTATTTAAAATTCATTGCCAGCTAACTCCAATATCTGGATTACCTGTAGGGCTGTTATTATTTTTTTTCTCATTTTTTAGTCATATAGGTATATTTAAAATTCATTGCCAGCTAACTCCAATATCTGGATTACCTGTAGGGCTGTTATTATTTTTTTTCTCATTTTTTAGTCATATAGGTATATATAGTAATTTCTTAATTGAAAGTTAGTATTTTTTTTTCCTTTTTGTCTTTTTTTCGTGACCGGCAACGGATCGCAACCCTCAGTGTCGCGCCCGTACCAGACCGGGACCGGCAACAGGATCGCAACCCTCGGTGTCGCGCCCGCACCTCACTCAGCCAGTGAGTGGCCGGTCTGTATGTGGGATCTGAACCTTCGGCGGGAGCGCCGCCGCGCTCCCAAGTGGCGCACTGTAGCAGTGCGCCACCGGGCCGGCCCCTGAAAGTTAGTATTTTGTATTAAAAAATTCTAGAGACTCCAGATGATGTTATCTTCTTTCCCGAGAGTATTCAGCTTTCCTCCACTAGGCAAATAGAATGATGTATGATCATTGAAACCCAATCAGGGACTATGCTGAGGTGAGATTACAATCCGACTAAGGCTTGATTTACCTCTGATTCATCACTAGCCCTCTTGGGATTTCAACAGAGGCCACTGGAAGCACATATGCCACTGGAAGCAGAAGTCAATAAAGCAAACTTCTTTAATGGCATAAACCCACAACTACAAACAGAACAGAAATTAACTGCCCTTCATGCTCTTGAAAGTTACTAAAGAGGTATTCCTGTAAAATAAGTGGAAAACAAAGGAGGACGAACCACATGATCCAGAAAATGGTGATCAAACCCAAGAGAGAGGTAAAGGAAATCATCAGAATGAATATTAAGAAGAATCTAATGACACAGCTGCTTAATAGGCCTCAAGAGTAGTAAGTCTATATGGGAGGATGTTAAAAGGATCTAGGAGAGAATCCTGAAATGAAATTTACTGAGTAACTGATGTGTTTGAACATTTTGAAAGGAAATTTAGACTACTACTATATATCACGAACGCAGAAAACTAAACAAATTTTTTACAAGATAATTATCAAGTGCAAGAAAAACAAAAAGTTTCCTAGAAGGGAAACCATTCTACGTTCAGCTATGAACAGCATCTACAAAGTCATAATAATGAAATTATTGAATAATGAAGCCATCAGAGTTATAATAATAAAATCTTATTTAGGAGGATTGGAAGTGAATGTGGGTGAGAAATGATGGTTTTAAAAAAGTAGCTAAATTTGTATCTTCTATAGAGCCTAAAATTGAAAAATGACGAAACGACTCCATAAATAAGTTATTTAAAGATTCAGAGATAGATATCAAAAAATACTACTAAAAAAGTTTGAAGTACCTGCCTCTGGAAATTGAAATTGGGGGAAATCATTTTAAAACTATCAATTACTGTGAGGGCAGAATATTGACATTTTTAGGTATGTCAAATCTGAGAAAGTTTACCTCCCAGAAAACATTTTGGAAAAAGCTATTTGATAACATGTACTTATAGTTGAGGCAGAAAACTAAAAAAGAGGAAGAGATGGGTCTAAGAATACAACAGATCCAACCCAGAAGACCACTGAGGGGGAAATTCTAGAATATCAGCTATATAGCAGACCTTGGGGGTAGAAAGTGGTCTAGATTATGCTCTATACACGCAAAAACATTTCTGGAGAAAAGAAAGGAATGGAGGCATGGCTCAAATATGAAGCAAAATTAAGACATGGCATGCTTTCAAGCAACTGATGGAATATAAATAATGTATTTGAAGCTGTGACTAGAAACATTCTAGGAATAGTCTCCTTTAAGAGTCCTAGTAACCATGATATTAGATTCATGAAAGGAAAATGTAATTCTTGCATATGACTTGGCACTGCAGTAACTGTGTACACATTTTAACAAGGTGTAGCTTAAATTCTGATGATTGGTTTTGAACCTTTAAAGTAAATCTGTGGACAAAAAAATGAAAGAATGAGTTTTGGCTGCAGACCAAACTATAAATATTAACTATTGAAAATATAAAAGGAAAAAAAAAAAAGACAATGGGGAAATAAGATGGAGGAAAGAATAAGGGTGCCAGTATACTTAACCTATGTAAAAGAGTAAGGTAATTGACTAAATTTGATGAAATAAGAAGTAGAGTTATGAGCATAATATTTATTAATACCAAATTAACTAATAGAAAAACTATAACACACCTAGCAAACACTGAAAGGATAAAGGTTGGTGAGACACAGGTTTAATTTAAAGAGAACTAGTCAATTGATATTGTGTAGTGTTGAATGTGGAGAACATCTGTTATTTTTTGATTGCCCAGCATCTGATTCTGCTTCCTATGTTTGGTGAATCTTCATTGCCATGCCTTCCGCTATCAATGATGAAAAGGCTAATGCTTGTTTTCCCAGCTTCCTTTACAGCTAGGACATGGGCATATGGTCTAGGCTCAGTCCATCACTGCCTAAGAGCTAATGACACAAAGAGGACAGATAGTGAAGAATCCATTCTGGCCATCGTGGCAGACATACCCAGTGTTTAGTGGAAGCAGTGGCATTGATGACAGCGGTGGCACCAAGTGACAATGACAATGCAAGTTGAGCATTCAGGTTCATCAGTGGCACTGGTGGCAGTGTGCCCTTACCAGACTGGGCTCTATGGAAAGACATTGACTATAGTCTGGCTACCATGTTTCACTTTGTTCCTGTCCATATTTAGAGACTAATTGTCTAGGCTTGGCAATTCCGTGAGTTACTCAGTCCTTTGAATAAATTCCTTTCCCATTTAAATCAGCCAGAGTCAGTTTCCTTTGCTTACAAGCAAGAACTCTGATTAGACCACTAATAAATCAATAAATAGAAGTATAAGCATATTACCTTGGAAAGAATGAGAAACTCAAATATCAATAGTTGTTAGTATGTGCAATTCCTTTAGCCTATAATAAATCTTCCCTAATTCCACTTCCCTACCTTTGCTGAAAAATGCCTACCGACTCCCCAGTTCTCAATTTAGATATCATTTCCTCTCTAAAGCCTTTTTTTTGCCCCCTTTACATATGCATGCCAAGTCATAGCACTCATCTGCTTTGTAATGGACTATTTATTTGTGTTTATTGCCCAATATAATAAAAATTCCTTGGCTGAAGGGAACATGCACACAGTGGGCATGCTCAACAAATACAAGTTGAATAAACAGAAATTATGAAGGAAGATTAATGAATGTTTTACTAAATCACCTAACTTATAAATGCAGAAACCTTAACAGGGTGCTAAACATACCTTCAGTACTTGAATCAGTCTGGCTTCCTGAAGAAGATGATGAAGAAGAAGGAAACACACAATCATCTGAAGAATAAGATATTACTGATCTATGTCGAGATCGGTGGTGTTTTTGGTTTTGCTTTTTTTTTTCCTTTTGCTTGTGTTTACCTTAGAGAGATATAAAATGGAGCACAATTATCTTCCCAAATATTTGTAACATATGAGAGAGAAACAACGTAATTTATAAAATGTACTTGAAATTACCCAAAAGGCTTTAAAGCAAGTACAAACTCCCACCTTTGTATCTGCCAGTCCCAGCATCTTCAGGACTTCTTTGTGTGGACTTCTTATCCATGTCTATAAAACCAAAATATTGACAAATTATTAGAGAATTTAAAAAGCAAAATGAGGTTTCTTGGGACAAAGAAAATGGAAATGGGATTAACCTCAGCATTATTAACAATTTGAACTGGATTATTGTTACGAAGGGCTTTCCTGTGCGTTTTAGGAAGTTTAGTCACTTCTCTGGCCTCTACCCACTAGATGCCAGTAGCGCCCTCTAAGTGTGACAACCCAAAATGGCTCCAGACCTTGACAATTGTCCCTTGGAGGGCAACTACTGTTGAGAACCACAACCCCATTAAGAACCACTGGACTAGAGTAGTAATAACAAAGATGGAAAGAAAAACTCAAGAATCAGAATAACTAGGAAATGCTGGTGGATTGTATATAAAAATTGAGGAAAAGGACAGGAAAATTGATGTAAAGGATGATTTCTAGGCTTCTGGCATGAGCAACTGGGTAGAAAACAGTACCATTAACTGAGATATGCCAACACAAAGGAAGGAATATATTAGGAATATATTGCAATACAACATAGTATAGAAAATCAAAAGTTTTTTTTTCAAGGCATGCCTTAAGAGGAATTTAGTAGATGCCTATAAACTATCCAAGTAAATATGTCATATATCTCATGTCAGCAAAGATTATTTCAATGGACAAAAGGCACTGAAAGTACAAGTTTGGGAATCTTTGGCAGAGTATTTATAGCACGGGACTGAATGAAACAAAAGGAAACAGCCCAAATGGAGAGCTAAACCCTAATCTTTCATGATTCAAGTCAAAAGATAATCTCTAAGGTGGATAATTTCTAAATTAGAAAACATCATTTTAAACATATTATTTATAATATTAAGTATACCAACAGAAAGAGCTAAAAGAATTGAAGGGAGCTGTCTGTGGAGAGTTAGATGGGAAGTACTGTAGCACTTTTTTTGGCTTTTATTTATTATTATTTTTTAATGATCCAATTTTCTTTTCTTTTTTTATTTGTTTTTATTGAATCATAATTGATTATACATATTTTTGGGATTCAATGTTGACATATGTTGATCAAATCAATATTACTAGTATGTATACTGTTACAAATTGCACTTATTCTTTATGTCCCTTGTCCAATCTCTCCCTAGCCCCTCTCCTTCCCCCCTCCCACCACTGATAACCCTAATTTTTTGGCTTTTAAATGAGTGAATATTATTCCGACAAAAATTTAAATGTAAATAAATCTCCCCTTTCAAAACACACAAAGAGTGAATGGGAATTATCCAAGATGCCAGACTTCCTTCCTAAAGTCATATTAAAATGAAAGCTAAGCAATAAAAATTGATAAATACATAACAGGAAACATAAAAGAGAATCCGAAAGGGAAACATGTGCTTCAACAAATGTCTGAAAGCCAAAAAGCAGATGCAAGTGTATTGATATAAGAAACTAAGAGTGGTATAGACTGGGAAAGATATTACAGTAGAGGTGGTGACTCTGCCTAGCAGAACCTGAAAGAAGCTCTAATTGATTGCGTCTATGAAAGATGGGAATAAGAAGCAGTGCTGAAAACAGGAGAATTATTAAAGATCTATTTACACCAACTCAGAACCCAGTGATTACTCCCAGGCAAAAGTTCAAAGGATCATTTAAAGAAATTGAATGAAATGTAGGGCAACAAGTGCAAGTTTTGATGCCTCAGTCTCATTTTTGGTTGGGTCCCTAATGAAACAACCAGTTCCCTGCCAGATTACCTTATTAATAATATTAAATATTAAATAACTGTTCACTTTATGCCAGG